TTTGGGCAACGGGCCAAAGCACGTGCTGAGAGGAGCACTTAATTAGGTGACCAAACACATGCGTCTTCTCATTGCCTCTCTGAAGGAGGCACTGCTGCTGTGACCAGAAAAATACGAGTAAGACATGTTTTGATTGCCTGCTCAAGGTCCTCTGTTAAAGTGTATGGTACCTGAGAACATGTAGCCAAATGGGGATGCTGAACAATATTGAAATGGGCTGGGAAGCGCTTAAAGCGTCTTGAATCCTTTTAGAAATAAGCCTTTTCAGTGGAAAAACATTTGTGGGTCCAGCCCGTGGCCTCATTTGTCAGCAGAAGGCATTGCTTTCCTGGATGACTGAATTACGGATGCTTCGCCTATTGCTTACTTTGTCATTTTAAACATGAGTTCCCCTGTATGTTTCCAATGTAAGGAACTAAGTGGACCTGAAAATAGTATCTATGCTGGAAGCAGAAACATTTTGGGGAACGGGAATGTGGAGAGGCAGTGAGCACCCATTGTACGCGTGTGAACATGCGACCCAGGCATCTTGCGTCTCTAACATCAAGGGATCTGAGTGTGCATGTGGCGGTGTGTGGCATGTGCCCCAGCGGCTGCATGTTGGGGTGCGGTCCGGCTTCAGAAGGGTGCACAGTCATGCTTGTTGTGTGGGCTGGGCTGGCAGGTCAGTTGAGGAGAGACAGAAGGTCTGGAGTCCCCTGTTACTCCTTGTCCCTCTTATCCTGTGTCCTCAGGTGCTCCAAGGTCTCCTACTCTGAGTTTGCTTAATCAGGGGTCCCCCAACCTGTGCAATCAGACACCCTCACCCAGGAGAGGTTTCGCAGCGGTTACTCCAAAGAAGGTCTAGCTCTTCCTTCTTAGATGTTTCTTGTTACGTCTACCCTAAGTGCTGCTCCCTGATTCTGAATCTGGGACTCTGCCAGCCCTCTTGTACATCAGTCAATCATCAGTCCTCATCAAGACCTCTCTATCTCCCTCCATATCTACCCAAAGATGTGCACGTGTGCCTTTACTTTAGCAACCCCTTTTTGCATAAGAAAACATATAATTTTGTTTTTGTGGGGTTTTTGGAAGTGTAAGGTGTTGTGATGTACTTGTGAAAACTGGGTGGCCCTCGAAGAGGCATGATACTCGCCCTCCAGTAGCCTGGACTTATTAAAAGGACTGCCCTTGTGAACCATAAAGACATATAAGAATACAGCAGTATCGGTCCATACCGGTGAAATCTGGAAGGAGAGGAAAGAGGATGTGTATTGAAGAAGAGACAAATAATAAAGTGTGAGGAAAATGGATTCTAGGACCCAGACGTATGTTTGGTCACATTACCTCCAGGATAACAAATAGTACAAAACACCACATAAGTGTTACAGAGAGGTCACATCCGTGCACTACTTCACACACTGTATGCAACATGTTTTAAAAGGAGCTATGTAGAATTTGCCAGAGAATGAAATCTTACAGAAGCACGTGAAGACTCAATTACACACAAGGTGCGTGTGGATAACACTCATCATGACATGAGGCTGGGCCGTAGCTCTGTGGTAGAGCATTTGCCTTGCATGTGTGAGGCACTGGATTTGATCCTCAGCACCGCATACAAATAAACGAATACAAAATTCGTCATGACAATGACAGCAATTTTCCCTCAATGTCATCTATAATATTTTATTTATTTATTTTTCTTTTTAGATACACATAACAGTATATTTTGACTTAGACATGTGCAGTATAACTGATTCTAACTAGGATCTCATCCTTGTGGTTGTACGTGATGTGGAGATTCACTGATCATGTATTCATATATGAACATAGGAATGTATTCTACTGTCTTTCCCATTCCTATCCCCCTCCCTTCTCTTCATTCCCCTTTGTCTAATCCAATGAACTTTTATTCTCCATCCCCCTCCTCTTGTTGTGTGTGGGCATCCGCATATCAGAGAGAACCTGTGGCCTTTGGTTTTGGGGGACTGGCTTATTTCGCTTAGCATGATAGCCTCCAGACCCATCACTTTACCAGCAAATGCCAAATTTTCTTTCTTCCTGATGGCTCAGTGATGTTCCGTGGTGTATATACACCACATTTTCTTTATCCGTTCATCTGTTGAAGGGCACCTCGGTTGGTTCTATAGCTTAACTATTGTGAATTCACCTCCTAACCTTGCTGTGGCTGTGTCCCCTTAGTATGCTGATGTGAAGTCCTTCCAGATAACTAGGTCAAATGGTGCTTCCGTTCCAGGTTTTCTAAGGAATCTCCATGATGCTTTCTAGAGTGGTTGCACCAATTTGCAGTCCCACCAGCAATGTATGAGTGAACCTTTTCCCCACATCCTAGCCAACATTTATTGTTACTTGTGTTCTTGATAATCGCCATTCTGACTGGAGTGAGATGGAATCTCAGTGTAGTTTTAAGTTGCATTTCTCTAACTGTTAGAGATGTTGATCATTTTTTTTTTCATATATCTGTTGACTTTTTGTATTTCTTCATCTGTGAAGTGCCTGTTCAATTCCTTTGCCCATTTATTGATTGGGTTATTGGTTTCTTGGGTGTTAAATTTTTGAGTTCTTTATATATCGTGGAGATTAATGCTCTGAGTGCTCAGTCTGAGGTGCCAATGGCAAAGATTTCCTCTCATTATGTAGGCTCCCTCTTCATTGTTTCCTTTGCTGAGAAGAAGCAATTTAGTTTGGTAATGTCACACTTATTGATTCTTGATTTTACTTCTTGTGCTTCAGGCGTCTTGTTACAGAAGTCGGTTCCTAAGCCCACATGATGGAGAGTTGGAGTAGATGCGGGGTCTCTGGTCTGATGTCTAGGTCCTTGATTCTCTTTGAGTTGAGTTTTTTGGCAGGGTGAGATAGGGGTTAAAGTTCATTCATGGGTTTCCAGTTTTCCCAGCACCATTTGTTTGAAGTAATCCATTCATGGTGAAAAATGGAAATGAGGAATAAAACACGTTTGTGCAATGGATAGAACTAGAGGGTTTCCACTGCGTATTTGGGGGTGGAAGAGTAAGAAGAGAAGGATCATGGGAACGATTTCATGGGCTGCCCTACACTTTTCAGTAAGGTTGGAAGTTTCTGTGGTTGAAGTTTGGCATTTACGACAGTGATGCTGGAAAATGGCCCTTCACAAGAAGATGCGTGTCATAATGCTCCTATGATCGGAACTCTGGTTCCACACACCTGTGTGTGAGCGTGTGCCTGAATGTGCAGGTAATATGTTGGAAGCACACAGGTCCTTCCACTAAGAGTGAGTGGCTTGGAAGGTTCTCTCTGATCTGCAGATGGTAACACACATTAAGTTGGGGGGGTGGCGGGGAAGAGTAAAAGTACTTTGGATTAGACAAAGGGGAATGAAGGGGAGGGACGGCGTGGGAAGGGAAAGTCAGTAGAAGGAATCAACATAACTTTCCTTTGTTCACATATGAACACAGGACCAGTGTGGCTCCATATTACATACAACCACAACAATGGGAAGCCATATTCCATGTGTGTATGATATGTCAACATACATTGTACTGCCATGTATACCCAAACAGAACAAATAATAAATTAAAAAAAAAAAAAAAAAACAAAACGCGAGTGAGTGGCTGCTGCATGCTAACCCTTGGCAGACCTTCCTGTGCATTTCACGTTCTCAGTAAGCCTGGTTAATGTGTTCTAGAGTGAGACAAACCCCATTTTTTGATTCACACACCCTCCAGCACCCAGACTGATAATAGGAAATCCATGTGGCCAAGGCACATGAGGTCCTGAAAGGTGTAGTTCCTACTCTCCTGCAAGAGAAGCGATCACATTATACTGAGAGGCAGAAGGTGGATATGTTCTGAAATGCAAGAGATGCAAGAAAATAAATGTGACATCTGCATTATGGGTGGCATTAGGACATGGCTTCTGCTGCAGAAGTCATGCATTCCAGAGATGGGGAAGGTAGTCACACACAGTCGGCTTATTTTCCTACCTGTTTTGGGTTTTCCAGATTAGCATCACAGGGCAACAGGTCGTGGCCATCTGCATTTGGGTGCCCTGGAGTCCCTGGAGGAAGAGTGCAGTTTGGAGGAACGGAGCAGAGTGAAGGTTCTGCAGGTGAGGAGTTGCAGCAGCAGATGTGGGACTGGACCTTCATGACCCTGGGTAAGCCTCTCCCACAGCCCCCTGTTGCGCCCTGCTGTTCAGAACCTTGTTTTCACGGTAAGAATCACAGATTTGGTATTGGAAGACAGAAGATGTAAACCACGAGACAGCAGTTCAGGCCACAGCTGGAGACCAGTGCCTGAACCAGTGTGTTCTTCCTCACCCCGCCAGGCAGGAAGAATCAGCAGGAGGACCTTCACAAACCCCTGGGTCCCACGTGCAAGCTCTTGAACGTGACATTGCACAAACACCTCCTGCAGGAGGGCAGGGCGGCACAAACCCCTCAGAAAAGAAGAAAATCCGAGGCATTCTCCAGGGGAGAAGCCCCAGGAGCCAAAAAGGCACAGAATGTACAGTTCGAGAAAGGGTCCCCTGGCATGACACCCACTTCCTCGTGTGCTTGCTCTTTGAGCTGCACAATCCTTACAGTTAGGACAAGATGTTGGATTTGCCTTGTTATGGAGCCCCCCTGACACCTCCAGGGTTTTGTCTGTTTTTCCCCAAGTACTTTCCATTTATAAACCCTTCTGTGAAGGACGCACTCTCTGTGTTTCCTTCTTTCATCCCTCAACAATCTCATAGAGCAGGGTGCTTCTACTTGCACGAGAGGAATTTTCTCTTTTGACACTTTTCTGCTTTTCCTTTTGTGAACTCCAGGTTGCTCCTGTATCACCCACAAAAGCAAGCAGTCAGCCCAGCACCTCAGGGAGACTCGGGCGGGAAGAGAACCACCACTCAAGCTGCCAGCCCTTGGCAGTCCCTGAGGACTGCACGTGGCCTTAGGACAGAACTGCGTTAGCAGTGGTTTTGACAGCCAGGCGTCCTGCCCTCCTCCAATCACCTCCTGACCCCCAACTCCAACTGCAATGGACACCCAGTATGTCCTATGCAGTTGGAAAGGCCGCTTGTGGCCAGCCAAGGTTTTGTCCAGATCTTGGACTTTGCCGAAATATAAGAGGAGAAGGGTGCTTTCTCTCCAAGTCCAGATCCTCTCTGAAGACCAAAAATTGAGAGTGAAGGGCAAAGACGCAAGGGCCCTGAACAAGTTGGAAATCGAAGCCCTGGCCACCTCAGCCCGGGCATGGTCCAGGGCCACTGTGCCATCGGGGGAGAAAAGAAGGTACAGAAGAGCCCTTAGAGTGGCGCTGGAGATTCTGACTGAGAAAGCCCACTTGGATCAAGGAAGAAAACCCGAGGAGCCAGGGACCCCTAAGGTGCCTGCAGAGGTACTCCAAAAGCCAGCCAGCTGGCGACCTCGCAGAAAGTATCAGGGGCGCAAAGGGCACTTCTGGACTAAGAAAAGGGGACAACGGGGATCCCTGTGCGTGCATTCAGAGAAGGAGAACGACCTGCATGGCGAGAACTCCCAGGTGCACACAGCCATCCGCCTGTCTCCAGCTGAAAAGCAAGCAGAGGCATCACAAGGCGCCCACGAGCGTCCAGATTTCCTGCCTCCTTGTGGAGGTGACCTCCAGGAAGAGGGGGCAGAAGAAGCAGGCCCCTTCGCACGTTCCCCCACCGCGGGGGAGGATGCCTGTGCTAAAGACGAAAAGCCAGCTTGGTCGCCTCCAGCAAGACTCTTTGCAGCTGTGCCCAAAGCTGAGCACCAAGAGGCGGGGGACACCTGCCCAGAGACCCCGGCTACTTCCCAGGAGAGCACTGCCTTCGCAGAGAATGCAGAGGGCCCAGGCGAGGGTGCCTTGGAAGGGATGGCAGCATCCTCCACCTGCTCCACCCCGAGCCTGCATCGCTCCCTCGGTTTCGCCCACAGGAAAAGGAAGCTCGAGGCGCCAGACCCCAAGAAAGGACTGCGGGGGCGCCCACGCCCTGTGCGCTCCCAGACGATGAGGGACGCCAGGGCCAGCACCATAAGGGCTGGCGATCGACCAGCACGAGGAGCCGCAGCAGGGCCTTCGGCACGCGAGCCCTGCCCTATCAAAAGAGGGACGATGGTCTGGTTCAAGTTTCAGGATCATCCGTTTTGGCCGGCAGTGGTCAAGAGCGTGTGCAAAACCCAGAAGACGGCCCGGGTGCTGTTGATTGAGGCGAACCTGCGCGGGGAACGCAGTGGCATTCGGGTCCCTCTGCACAGGCTGAAGCACCTGGATTGTGAGGAGAAGGAGAAACTCCTGAAGAGAGCCAGCAAGGCGTACCGGCAGAGTGTGAACTGGTGCTTGTCGCTCATTGCCCACTACCGAGAGCGGGTCGGTCGGGGCTCTTTCGTGGGCTCCTTCCTGGACTACTACGCGGCCGACGCCAGCTACCCCATGCGCAAAGCCATCCAAGACGGGGACCTGAACGTCAATTTTCCAAAGGTGAATTATGCCGACCTGGAAGATTCCGAGGAGGAGACCTCGGTGGGCGTGGGCGGCAAGAGGCCCTGCAAGAAGCTGCTCCCCGACCGCATGAAGGCCGCTTGGGACCGAGCCAACCAGAAGCTGGTGGACTTCATCGTGAAGAAGAAGGGGGTCGACCACCATCTGCTGGACATCGTGAAGGGCAGGAAGCAGTCCCGGTGGCTGACGTCCTTTCTGAGTGAAAACCGGTACGTGTTCTGCATCGAGACGTACCTGGAGGACGAGGATCAGCTGGACGTCGTCGTCAAGCATCTGCAAGAGATCTACGAGCAAGCGGACAAGGCCTTGCTCGCTCTCATCAGAGATGACAAAGTGAGATTTCTTGTGGAAGTCCTGCTGCCAGAAGCGATCATTTGTTCAATCGCTGCGCTGGATGAACTCGACTACAAGGGAGCAGAAGAGAAGTACCTGCGAGGGCCACCCGTGCATCCACGGGAGAAGGAACTGTTTGACAAAGACATCTTGAAGCAGATGAGGAAGACATCCAGGAGAGGCAGAAAGGTGGTCAGGTCTCTTCCCCAGCCCTGTACCTCCGCAGGGGCCTCCTCCTCTCCCCAACCCATCAGGCCGCCCATCTGTGTGAAAGGAGGCGCCTCACCCCCTCCCTAGGCAGTCCCATATGCTTTGCACCTTCGAGACTTTTGGAAGGTGCACTCTTCATGGTGGATCCATCTCTCCCCTTGGTGGATGCCACCTTCAGCCACATTTCTTGTCCCCAAACCCCTCACCCGCTATTTGGCTCAAATACTGCAACACCCTTTGGGAGACAGAGCTGCTCATATGTTGCTAGAGGAACATTGCACTGTTTCTCACGACACTCCTTCCCTTCCCACTTGATATTTTCATACAAGACACACACCAGCAAAGGCCCGGCCTTCAGCTATCTAGCAACCCTAACCTGGGAAACCTCATGCGTGTGTTCATACAAACATCCCCTGGATTTTTCATGCGTCCAGGGACATATGGATACACATATGCCTTGGGCTCCTTCTTGACCTCATCCCCGAACTTTCCCTGCTACACCTTTTTGCTTCTTGAACAATAGCCTTGGAGTCAAAACCAATGACAGAGATGCTTTCTCCTGTGATACCATCACCTTCTGATACTTCTCCAAAAGCCATTCTGGAAGTCCAGCCGAGCACAGAGTTGCTGGATCACCAGCCCACCGTCCTCTGGGCATGGGTGAAATCCTGGCACCCAAGGGCCCTTTTGTCCTGTGGGATCTTGCCTAGGAGCATCGACTTGGTGCATTCGTGAAATTCCGCCTCTGGGAGCAGGGAGTGGCCCTTCTTCACAGGCTGAAGAGCAGCGGCTTCCTGAAGCACACAGGCCACAGGCCCCCTCCCATCACTGGCAGCGACTGGATCCTCCTCACATGGCCATCGAGTCCCAGGTTGACCACTTCACAGGCCAGCCACTCCATGGAGTGGATGGGAGAGGAGCCCATCCACAGAGGATGAGTTACAGGACAGCAAGCATTTGCTCTGGATCCCACAGGCCCTCACACAGAGACATTTGTCTCAAGGTGTATCCCCCGACTTCTTCACGGGCCAGCAGGCTCCCACCGCAGAAACGCAGACTGGGTCAGTCTTTCCAGGCAGCTGGCACAGCGCCAGTACCGGGGCTGCCAAGTTGCAAATGGAAGATAGAAACAGCCTCTGCTCGGCCCTACCTGGCCATCGTCCAAATGTAATTAAACACACACCCTCAAATGATGCGTGCAAAACCCACGGATTCTCCTACTAACTTGAAGCAAAACGTCTTTCTGAGAATACACGTAAGAAAAACCAGTTTACTTTGAAAACTTGATTGAATGAAGCATTGAGGGTTGAGGGGATCCTGAGCGGGTGGGTAGCTGTTGGAGGAAGTCCCTTGTTCTCGTGTGTTCCCATGGCAGGTGCTTTTCTCGACCTTGCAAGGTAGCTCTCTGGATTCACAATCCAACTGTTGTGTCTTTCCCCTTGGACTCCTGCTCCATCACGCTTGAAATTGCACCACGGCTCAGGTGGAGCATCCAAGAAAGCGTATAAGCACACTCACCACGAAATAATATCATGGAAAGTATCATGGTGGCTGTTGTCATTTTGAAGGCTCATTGTGAGTTCCCTGCTCATTCCAAATAAATATTCATGTTTGTGGTTGACGTTGTGTAACTTTACATGTGGCCTTCCAAATGGTATGGGTGTCAGGCCTGACCTACCTCTCTTTGGACTCTGCCTGACAGAGAGCAGCCTCCTGGGGCCCCCTGAAGCCCTCATGGTCCTGGGAATCATTTTCAACAGACTGTAGGCCTCGGCGCTCTGTGCAGACCCCATTCACCCAGACAGTGCCCTCTAGCTTCTCCACCACCCTGTGTCTGTCTCTCAGCTGTCTGCTGGGGCCATGTTAGCATCTGGGTTCTACTCTTTTCCTTACTGCCTCATTCATTCATTCATTCCTTCATTTTTCATCAGGAGAGCAAGTGAGCTGTGGCTTAAGGCTCTGCTCTGAAGATAAACTCCAGGTGCCCTAGAAAGGGATGGGAATCTTGCAACCCAGGTGACAATCGCACTTGTGAGGGAACAAGGATATGACACTTTGTCCTGTTAGTGAGAAATGTTGACCAGCCACATGGGCTGACTCCCTGCAGTTGAATCCAGATCCTGCTTCCCGCCCCCCCCCCCCTATTTTTCAGATGGGAGGTTTCTGTTGGTTGAGGTGAAGGGAGAGAGGCTGGTCTCTTTTGCATATCATCTACAAGTGGCACCTTTTATTCATTTTATTTTTTATTTGTTCTTATGTTCTTTTTAGCTATACATGACAGTAGAGTATATTTTAACATATTACACATACATGGAGTATAACTTCCATTCTTGTGGTTGTACATGATGTGGAGTTACACTGCTTGTGTATTCACATGTGAGCATAGGAAAGTTATGTCTGATTCATTCTACTGTCTTTCCCATTCCCATCCCTTTTCCCTTTTCCCTTTATTCTCCTTTGTCTGATCCCATGAACTTCTATTCATCCCCACTCCCGCTGTCAAATCCAATGAACCTCCACTCCCCACCCCCAGCTTATTGTAAATAGCATCCACATACCAGAGAGAACATTTAGTCTTTGGTTTTGGGGGACTGGCTTATTTCACTTAGCAGGATACTCTCCAGTTCCATCCGTTTATAGGCAAATGTCATTCCTCTTTATGGCTGAGTAATATCCCATTGTGTATATATGCCACATTTTCTTTATTTTTTCATCTGTTGAAGAGCACCTAGCTAACCTCTTTATTTTTTTATTTTGAGACACGGTCTGGCTACGTCGTCTAGGATGGACTTGAACTTGCAAGCGTCCTGCCTCGGTTTCCTGAGTTGTGGGATTACAGTCATGCAACATCACTCTGGGCCCTTCCACAATTATGATCACAACCATACCAACTGGTTTCACTTTAAATGCTTCACCAGTCATCTCAAGTTGTTCCTTAGAGCTGCCTGGCAATCCTACTCCATTTTCGTGTTCAGTTCACTCTCCCATAATCTCCTGTCTTCAAAATTACCGTCCTTTCCCCCTTCTCATCTTAGTTAATCATTGCAGTACATGTGAATAGTGTCCTCCTCCAAAAATCAAGGACGTGTCTTCACTTCACTCATGCTCTCACTCCTCCTTTCCCCTTGAAAACAAGGGTTTCTTGGAAGGGATTTTATCTTTCCCTGTCTCTGCTTCCTCCCCTCCTGATCATTCTTCAACCCACTGTATTAAGGCACTCATCCATACCTACCACTGTATTGGCTCATTTTTTTTAAAAGTATATTTTAGTTGTCGATGGACCTTTATTTTATTTTATTTTATTTGTTTATACGAGGTATTGAGAATGAACCCAGTGCCTCACACGTTCTAGGCAAGCGCTCTACCATTGAGCCCCAGCCCCAGCCCACATGGTATTGGCTCTTGTCAAAATCACCAATGACATTTCTCATCCTAAATCCACTATCATTCTCAGTCCTCAATTCTGAAACTCTTCAGTAACAGTCAATGTAATTGGTCCCTCCTGCTTTTCTCAAACTATCTTCACCCAGTTTCAGGGGCATTCTCCTGATTTTACTTCCACTTTATGTACCCCCGTCTCTTGCTCCTAAACCTCTAAATCTAGGCTTGGAATTCAATTGCTTTCTTGTTCCCAGTTATGTTTACACCTAAAGTGGTGGATCTGCAAATATTTTAATCAGATTTTCATCACTGTGCCCAAAAGACATGACAAGAAAACTGTAAAGGAGGAAAAGTTTATTTTGGCTCACAGTTTCAGAGGTTCAATTCACTGTTGTCCAACTCCATAGCTCTAGACCCAAGGTGAGGCAGAACATCATGGTGGAAGGGCATGGCGGAGGAAGTTGGCTCAGAGCATGATATCCAAGAAGGAGAGGGGGCGGGTGGGGGAGAGAGAGAGAGAGAGGTGCAATACTGTTCTCATCTGCTCACCAGGGACAAAATTCAAACCCCAAAGGCATGCTCCTAGTGACCTACCTTCTGTGGCACACCCTACGTTCCCACAGTTATCACCCAGTTAATCTATTCAAGTAGATTAATCCATTGATTGGGTCACATCTCCCAATCATTTCATCTTTTAACATTCTTTCCTTGTCTCTCACACAGCTTTTGGGAGACACCTCATATCTAAACCATAACACACTAGTATGGGACCTGGAGCATCAACATCACCTGGGAGCTTTATGGGAAAACAAATTCTTGGACCCTGCCCCAAACGTGCTAAATCAGAAACCCCTGGGTGAAGCCCAGCAGCCTGACTTTTAACTAGCCCTTCTGCTGATTCTGGTGCACCCTTGAGTATAAGAATCACTGCCTTAGGCCATCTCAAGTCAATCCTATAACTTTATATACCATCTGTTCCAGATGAAATTGCACTTGGTGCCAGCAACAGCAAACCCAACAGGAAAGTTTCCTTGACTACCCTGCCTAAAGTAAGCCTGCAACCTCTTCAGTATCTTATCACATCATCCTGTTCTGTTCTTGTCATTTATTACCATTTAATACAGAGTAAATATTAATTCTCTTACTTTTTTATGATCCATTCTGTGTCAGAGCAAGGATCTTTACACCTGGATCTCCATAATGGGCACATGATGTTCAGTCCATAAGCGCTACCTGATGGAATGCACAAGTTAATTATGTGCGCAGAACTTGTGTATTCATTGTCTTAGTATGTCCCAACGCTCCCTTGACTGAAAGTGGATGAATCAGAAAGCTGGGCTTTTTCATCACATAAACTTTTTTCATATTTATCTAATTCACACATGGTGGGCACATCCTGTATGCCAATCACATGCTCTAAATGTCTCCTGGGCAAGGTGGTACCATAGTTGTCCTCTGCTAGGTGTCCCTACCCTCTTACAAACCTACCCACTTCTGTTTCTCTGTACCACAGTACTGGAGGGTTAGAGGGTGTATCCTGAGAGGCCCTGCTTACTAGAAACTATGTGACTCCACCTCTCCTTGTGCAGCTCTATCTCAGCCCTGCAGTCTAAAAAGATAACATTAAAAATATTCATGTTTTCCTCTTCTTTATATGGATATTATACTGTCCCACCTCATAAGTTGGCTCTAAGGACTAATAAAGA